CAAAAAAAAAAAAAAAAAAAAAAAAAAAACCTATTAAAACAAGGATTCAAGTCCCAGGGCTCTCTCTTTAAAGTATTCAGAAAAACCTTCAACATGGGTAATTGAAAAAATATCCTATAGCCAAACAGAATCCTCATCTCCTTACTAAATGAAATAAACTCTGAAGACAACATAGCATATGGCAATGTCTGAAGAATGATTTTAATTCAAAAAGTAAAAGAGAGAGGTGGCCATTTAGCTCAGTTGGTCAGAGCACAGTGTTGACAACACCAAGGTCCAGGGTCTGATCCCTGTATAAGCCAGGGGCCAAAAAAAAAAAAAAAAATCAATCCCATTAAAATCCTTTGAAGGCTGCCCACTGTGAAGGAACCAAGTCTAAGCTCTTCGCAGAGCATGATTTGCTTCCACCCCATGGCCTTTCCTGCCTCACTTCTCACCACCCTTTCTCTTCAGTAATAATGTCCCACGTGCAACGCCCCAAACACATTATACTTTACAGCACATGGGTGATATGTCACATGCTATCCCTTCTATCGAGAATGTTCCAACTCAGATTCAAAGTTACTTTCTCGCTGAAACTGTCCCAGATGGGGCTCCCTAAACAGGAAAGGTTAGGGTTAGGCTCCTTAAATCAAGATTAATACACTTATATTGAAAAGTAATCAATGTGTTTACTAAACTATGAGGTCCTTGGGGATAAGAGTACATCCTTTCAGTGTCTATCCCAGCACTGACACACAGTAAATGTACAAAAATGATCTGTTGGATAAATCTCAACTATGTTTAAATATAAAGTATTTATACAGATACACACAATTTATAAATAAGCCATATAAAAAATATATGTTTTTATAAAAAAAGATTAAGAAAACATAATAAAGTATGAGCAGTGGTGACTTCTAATTAATGAGATTATAGTGTTTATTTTCTTATTTTCTATGTTTTCAAATTTTCTAATATAGGTATATGACATTTAATCTTTAATAAGTTTTTTAAAACTTATGAGCTGAAATGTATGAATAATCAAATGCAACATAATGGTAGGGGCCTTGCCTTATTTGTCTTTGTATCCTCTCTAACATCTGGCCCAGTATCCTGTACAAAGGAAGTGCTCAAAATATTTTTTGAGGGCCGGCCCGTGGCTCACTCGGGAGAGTGCGGTGCTGATAACACCAAGGCCCCGGGTTCGGATCCCATATAGGGATGGCCGGTTCGCTCACTGGCTGAGCGTGGTGCTGACAACACCAAGTCAAGGGTTAAGATCCCCTTACCGGTCATCTTTTAAAAAAAAAAAAAAAAATTTTTTGAATTGAATTTGTTCTATTGAATTATAATTGAGATGTCAAACCAATGCATTTAAAAAGTTACTCAATAAACAAAAGTAGATGTTGCTTTGCAAAAAAACTGAATGGCAAAAAATCATAAAGTGAGATGTTTTTATTTCTAGATCTTCTTCGCTTAGTACAGGTTTTAAGAAATATTCTTCTTACTCTCAGAACGCAGAACAAGAACAGTTGCCATCTTGAACTATTCAGCGACAATGTGTAGGCAACTTAACCTCTTAGGGAGGATATGTGATATGTGCGATCTTTCTACAGCTAAGAAACACTTTCATGAGTTAAAATAAAGATAAATCACAGAGTGGCAGCTCTTGGAGTATGACAATTTAGATTCTGGTCTAATCTCATAGAGGAAAGTCCTTACCTTCACCAGGAATGAGCCAGTTTGCCATTTGGAGTACTTCAAATGTTGCTGCCAAGCTTAAAGACTGGGAGCCTGGGCTGTTTTACTTTCTCCAGGTCGAGACTATACAACACATAGAGGACAGTCTCCTATACACTAAGGAACATGTAAACTGATACCTGAAGGGCAATTTGGGAAAAGCTATAAAGAATCTTTTGAAAAAGTACATCCTCTCTGGCCTACCAGTTGCACTTCCTGGAATGTCAACTAAGGATATGTGTAAAGATTTAGCTTTTAAAAAACTGGTTTATGGTATTATTTATAATAAAAAATAAATGAACAATCTGAAGTAATCTTAATGTTCCACTGGTTGAGTAAACTGGTATATCCACTGGATGGAATATTATGCAGTCATTAGAAATATATCTACTTACACTGAAACATATTCATAATATTCTATTCAGTGAAAAAGGCAAGTTATAACACAGTTGTGCAGTGTGAACTCATCATTGTTAACAGCAATAGAGATATAAATCAGAAAAAAAATTCTGGAAAGCATACACACGAAAATGTTTAAAAGTGGTAGGAATGAGTAGCTGTTCTTTTTTAAATGTTCTGATTTTTCCTTCAATGAACATATAATTAGAAATACTTATATACTTAGAGGTGATTCTAAAAATAAACAACCAAACAGTAAACTGCCTTTATGTTTCGAGGGGCTTCCGCATCTGCGCTCCAGCCCTCATATCCCCTAAGCAGTCTTCCTCTGTAGAGTGACCACTTGTCGGAGCCTCAGAAAACCCCTAGAGGGGCCAACCCCGTGGCTCACTCGGGAGAGTGCCGCGCTGATAGCGCCGAGGCTGCGGGTTCGGATCCTATATAGGGATGGCCAGTGCGCTCGCTGGCTGTGTGGTGCAGACGACACCACGACACCAAGCCGAGGGTTACGTTCCCCTTACCCGTCAAAAAAAAAAGAAAAGAAAACCCCTAGAGACCAGGGCCTTTTTCACTTCCCAGCCACTTCAGCCCTGGTGCCACCAAAAGATACATCACATTGGCTTCAGCATAAGAGCAGGCTCAGGAGAAACTAACTCCGAGCTTGGGATCCAGCCCAGAATTCAAGCCCGTCCCTCAACTGGCTCAGCGGCCAAGCATCCCCAGTCACTTACCTCTCCCGAGGGCGACGCCCCACGCGTGACCTCCTCGTAGGCGCCCACCTGCTCCCAGGTGGCCAGGAAGGCGTGGGTGGGGGCGAAGCCCTTGGCAGAGCACGGGAAGCCCGTGCGCACGTAGCGGGCGGCCAGGCCCAGCACTGCCGGGGAGGCGTCCTCGCGGTACAGGACCCGGCCCCTGCCGTGGCTCGTGTCGATGTCGGCCAGGAAGGGGGCGATGGCCGGGAAGTCTGTGGGGAAGTCATCGTCCACATACTGGGTCTCTCTGGGGAAGTCCTGGGTGGAGATGACGCCGTTGGTGCCCACCTGGGAGAGTAGAGGGATAAATAGGTGACGGTTGCTCAACCCCAAGGTCGGCCACCACAGGTCCAGAAGCGCGCGCCCACCCTGTCCCGCAGGGAGGGACAGCAACTGCTCAGGAGCAGGAAGCCTCCCATTACCCACCGGCTAAGAGTCCGGGTTCAGGGCGACCAGCGTAACTTCAGCGACGGCCCCACTCCCCACCCCTGCCCCACAGCGAGGTGCGACCGTCCAGCGCCCTTAAACTCGTTCAAACCTCTTTTCGCTCCCCGCAGAACCCTGGAGCCCCGTGTCCCGGGGAGGAAGCCTCCGGGTCGGAGGAGGGAGCACCGCCGCTCTGCAGCCGTGCACGGCTTCCCGCCGTCCTCCCCGCAGACCCCACTGGCCGCTCAGCACCCCCGCCTTTTCTGCCGGGGTCGCGTGCGCGACTGCGAGCCACTCTTGCCTTCCCCTCGAGGTAACCCCTCCCAGCAGCGGGCCAAGCGGCCGGCGTGGGGACGACTTCAGCCCCCTGCAGGCAGGGCTTCGGTGCGATCGGCACTACCGACCCCTGGGGAGAAGCTGCGAGAAGAGTGCGGAGTGGCGCACCAGGAGGGAGCTGACTTACGTAAAGGCTGCTGAACTGGGCTTCGTAGAAGCGCAGGGGAATCGCCAGCTGCACCGCGGCTGAGCTCTCGTCGTCGCCTTCCTGCAGGACCTGGTCCCCCCGCGACTCCCCGTAGGGGAAGAGCTCGCCCGGGTGCAGCGCCGCAGCCCGNCAAGTCAAGGGTTAAGATCCCCTTACCGGTCATCTTTTAAAAAAAAAAAAAAAAATTTTTTGAATTGAATTTGTTCTATTGAATTATAATTGAGATGTCAAACCAATGCATTTAAAAAGTTACTCAATAAACAAAAGTAGATGTTGCTTTGCAAAAAAACTGAATGGCAAAAAATCATAAAGTGAGATGTTTTTATTTCTAGATCTTCTTCGCTTAGTACAGGTTTTAAGAAATATTCTTCTTACTCTCAGAACGCAGAACAAGAACAGTTGCCATCTTGAACTATTCAGCGACAATGTGTAGGCAACTTAACCTCTTAGGGAGGATATGTGATATGTGCGATCTTTCTACAGCTAAGAAACACTTTCATGAGTTAAAATAAAGATAAATCACAGAGTGGCAGCTCTTGGAGTATGACAATTTAGATTCTGGTCTAATCTCATAGAGGAAAGTCCTTACCTTCACCAGGAATGAGCCAGTTTGCCATTTGGAGTACTTCAAATGTTGCTGCCAAGCTTAAAGACTGGGAGCCTGGGCTGTTTTACTTTCTCCAGGTCGAGACTATACAACACATAGAGGACAGTCTCCTATACACTAAGGAACATGTAAACTGATACCTGAAGGGCAATTTGGGAAAAGCTATAAAGAATCTTTTGAAAAAGTACATCCTCTCTGGCCTACCAGTTGCACTTCCTGGAATGTCAACTAAGGATATGTGTAAAGATTTAGCTTTTAAAAAACTGGTTTATGGTATTATTTATAATAAAAAATAAATGAACAATCTGAAGTAATCTTAATGTTCCACTGGTTGAGTAAACTGGTATATCCACTGGATGGAATATTATGCAGTCATTAGAAATATATCTACTTACACTGAAACATATTCATAATATTCTATTCAGTGAAAAAGGCAAGTTATAACACAGTTGTGCAGTGTGAACTCATCATTGTTAACAGCAATAGAGATATAAATCAGAAAAAAAATTCTGGAAAGCATACACACGAAAATGTTTAAAAGTGGTAGGAATGAGTAGCTGTTCTTTTTTAAATGTTCTGATTTTTCCTTCAATGAACATATAATTAGAAATACTTATATACTTAGAGGTGATTCTAAAAATAAACAACCAAACAGTAAACTGCCTTTATGTTTCGAGGGGCTTCCGCATCTGCGCTCCAGCCCTCATATCCCCTAAGCAGTCTTCCTCTGTAGAGTGACCACTTGTCGGAGCCTCAGAAAACCCCTAGAGGGGCCAACCCCGTGGCTCACTCTGGAGAGTGCTGCGCTGATAGCGCTGAGGCTGCGGGTTCGGATCCTATATAGGGATGGCCAGTGCGCTCGCTGGCTGTGTGGTGCAGACGACACCACGACACCAAGCCGAGGGTTACGTTCCCCTTACCCGTCAAAAAAAAAAGAAAAGAAAACCCCTAGAGACCAGGGCCTTTTTCACTTCCCAGCCACTTCAGCCCTGGTGCCACCAAAAGATACATCACATTGGCTTCAGCATAAGAGCAGGCTCAGGAGAAACTAACTCCGAGCTTGGGATCCAGCCCAGAATTCAAGCCCGTCCCTCAACTGGCTCAGCGGCCAAGCATCCCCAGTCACTTACCTCTCCCGAGGGCGACGCCCCACGCGTGACCTCCTCGTAGGCGCCCACCTGCTCCCAGGTGGCCAGGAAGGCGTGGGTGGGGGCGAAGCCCTTGGCAGAGCACGGGAAGCCCGTGCGCACGTAGCGGGCGGCCAGGCCCAGCACTGCCGGGGAGGCGTCCTCGCGGTACAGGACCCGGCCCCTGCCGTGGCTCGTGTCGATGTCGGCCAGGAAGGGGGCGATGGCCGGGAAGTCTGTGGGGAAGTCATCGTCCACATACTGGGTCTCTCTGGGGAAGTCCTGGGTGGAGATGACGCCGTTGGTGCCCACCTGGGAGAGTAGAGGGATAAATAGGTGACGGTTGCTCAACCCCAAGGTCGGCCACCACAGGTCCAGAAGCGCGCTCCCACCCTGTCCCGCAGGGAGGGACAGCAACTGCTCAGGAGCAGGAAAAGGGATAAATAGGTGACGGTTGCTCAACCCCAAGGTCGGCCACCACAGGTCCAGAAGCGCGCGCCCACCCTGTCCCGCAGGGAGGGACAGCAACTGCTCAGGAGCAGGAAGCCTCCCCTTACCCACCGGCTAAGAGTCCGGGTTCAGGGCGACCAGCGTAACTTCAGCGACGGCCCCACTCCCCACCCCTGCCCCACAGCGAGGTGCGACCGTCCAGCGCCCTTAAACTCGTTCAAACCTCTTTTCGCTCCCCGCAGAACCCTGGAGCCCCGTGTCCCGGGGAGGAAGCCTCCGGGG